TAGAATACGAAAACATTGGTGAATGTTACAAATTCTCCTAAATCACTCGTACGCACAAGTTAAGAACAAATCTGTGCGTACGAACGGTTCTTGCAGGAGGATGATTGTCTCTTTCAAGACACTCCTAAAAACCCTTTTTACTCAAGCATTTAGCAAACCATTCACCATTAATACCATCCTACATCCACAGTGAATGCTCGCCAACTACCGTATTTATTCATGCATAATACGATCAGAATTTTTTGAGATTAAAAAGCATAGAAAAGCTAATCATCAATAACCCATGTTTAATACTATCCCCCCCATTTTATGGAAGATTTTTAGGGTTAAATTTCTAGTATTATGCATGAATAAATACAGTATGTGTTTTTCTATAATTGAACGTACAGCATATTTTTTTTCTCCCCCATTCTGTTTTTTGTATTATTGTATATTTTGCTCTGCATTGACCRTGTGTCTGAGTTACAATTTTAGAATTTAATCTTGATTTGATGTTTCATTATGTTGCTTATGTTTTATTCAGTTTCATTTTATTTTATTTCATTTTATTTATTTCATAGTTTTCTTCTGTTCAATTACTGTTTTATATATTTGTTAATAAGCACCAATAAAGATTTAAGTGGGAAGAAATATATAATTATACATTTGATTATAAAAAATAGTTCAGACATCTCATTGAAGAAGAAGAATGTGAACGAGTGAACTGCTGAGAACTGGTGAATGCTGTGTTCTGTTTACATTGTATTCTGGGAACTGGTAAATGGTAGTGACGTCATTTCCCAACAAACCATTTGAAACTACATTCCAGTTAGCCACCAGGCGATTGTATTGTTGCCACTAACCGAGCTACAACACTGCTACAATATAATGACAAAAAGAGAGCTCTACTACGTACGTCATGCAAATAAACATTGATTTTAACACTTACAGCATTGCACAGAAAACACACTACTTGTGTGAGTGATTAAACATGCACAAAAAATTAAAGATAATTAATAGTTTAAAAAGTTACGGAGTTAACTTTCTAAAGCTGCGAGTAGCCGCCATCTTGAAATCKGAACTCGGGGCAGTTTCATTTCTTCCACTATATGAGTGGAATATTACCACTGGAGGGGGAGTTCCAGTTTAAATCTACCAATGGGAACTGGGAAATTACCACTTCCCAGGACTACTGGAATGCAGCATTTGATTGTTTATTGTAGTGAAAGAATTTCCATGGCAGCTCTTTCTTACCTGATGTTCGTCTCTGTGTGTGTTAGTTCTCTGCCCTGCCTCCTGTCAGGGTGGTTTTTGCCATTACAATGGAGGGCAGTGCTAGGAAGGTCGTCACGGTGCGTTCAGCTCTCATGGTGAAGAACCGGTTGGATGTTCTGATGGAGGTCCGACTTGACAGCCCCTCTGCTCCTGACAGTAAGACACTGCTTCATTTGATTTTCTTTCTATGAACCATAGAACCTTTCTATACCCATTCCTAAAACAAATCTCCATTCAGTGACAGCTTGTTTCTTCCATTTATTGTCCCCAAACCCTCATATGTCCTTGGTTTTTTGGCATTGTATGATGATGGCTTTACTTCTGCCTTGATAGAACCAGTGGTTCTACCTCCTGTCCCGCCTGGACAAGCCTTTGCCATTCCCCTACATCTGACATCCTGGAGGTTGCAGACTCGACCCAAAGGTATGGACTTGTTCTTCTGTAAGGTTCCCATTCACTGGACCACCGTGGAGCAGCCCGGAGAGATCAGCAGCAGTAGGAGGGAGTGTCAATCAGCAGACTTTGATGACAGTCTCAAACCTAACTTCAGGTGGATAAAGTTGATCAGRTTGTATTTTTGTTTGTTTGTTTTTTGCGTCTTGGCTTCCCCACATCTTTTACTATTCCTATTACATCTCTTTATGTTGCAGGTTTTGTGTGGTCATTAAAAAGGAGAACTATCCAGAGCAGCAACCTGCTAAAAAGCAAGTTTCTGGCAGCGCACAGCAGATCTATCGACAGCCAGGTCACATCATTTATCTGCTGCCCACCATGGTACTTGCAAACGTGCTGCCATGTGACCTGAACTACTACATCAAAGGAACAACCATCAAAGGCTCACTGAAACCAGGAAAAGAGGCGGTGCTTCACTACGCTGATACTTCACAGAACATGGAGCTGGGTCAGGATTTGTAATCATTTATCAATAATTGGTCACTTATATTAAGGGTCCAAGCCTGTAAATGCAAGGGAATTCAGCTGCACACAGTACTGTTTCTATTCTTCCAGCAGAGCATGATATCCATTTAAATCTGTTCTGTTTATAATTGTGTGAATGCCTGTATGGCATTCACACAATTGAGATAATTTTTTCTTCCGTACGTTTTTCGGCACCTTTCTTGTTCCACAATTTTTGTGCTACTTCAACCATTCATATATCAAAACGTTCAGCTCTTTCGTGCAGTGCCTGCTATGACTTTTGGTATTTCAGCTATTTATAGCTTTTTAGCTATTTCAACTTTTTTGGCCACTTTTTTCCCATTGACTTTGAATGGGGCTATTTTCAACAACCTTCAAATCCTTCAAATAGTTTCTAAATCTTTACAAAACCTTACACAATTCATTCTGGTTGTGCTATTTTTTACTCCCTTGTGCAATTTTTAGCAACTTTTTTACTAACTTTAGCTGTTTTCTGCTATTTCAGCTATAGTTCTGCTTCTTCTGCTTTATTTGAACTATTTATGCTTCTTACAGTTGCTTTCTACTTTATTCAGTTAGTTTCTACAAAATGAGCTACATTTTAGCTGTTAATGGCTAAAATTAGCTTTTTAGGCTATATACACATTTTGTTTGTAGCAATTAGAACTTAATTCTGCTAAATTCAGCAAGGTTGTACTCCCTATGCATTCTTATGCTAAATAAAATATTTCCAGCTTCCGGCTTCTACTTTTAGTTAGCTTTTATGCAAATTTTAGCTGTTTTCTGCTATTTTATCTGTAGTTCTATTTTCTACTATTCCTATGCTATTTTTTTGCTTTTTGGTGTTTTTTCCTRGTACTTTGTGTTATGCATGTTTCTTGCAGGTGCTTTCTGCTTAATTAAGCAATTTTAGCATTTAGCTTTTTTATGCTATTTCAGCTATATTTTTGCTCCTTTTTTACTGTTTTTCCTTTTGCTTCTTTCAGCTTTTAAAGTTTGACTTCGAATAATACTTTTGCTATTAAACATTCTCAATTTCAGCAGCTTTCAGCAACAGGCATTCACACTAGCATTTTCACAGGAAATGCAATTTTTCTAGTTATTGTTATTACCATAAAGGGGTCTGTGTGTGCACTATGATGCAGTTTACTTGGCACCTGAAAATACATTTCCTCAAAGGTATTTTGAATCTGAAAAGAGCTTCACTGAGTGAAAAGTAATGTTGAGAGCTCAGCAGACAGTTAGGTTTCACTTTCAGTTTCACCCGAGAGCCTGCAGGAGTCATGGGCGGGGTGTGTGGGGAGGGGGGGGGTGCGCTCTGCCGTGAGGAAGTTCGGCTCAAAGACATGTCCCAGGGGCATTTCTGGTACCAAAAGGTGTTTCTGGTCCCCACCTGTCGTTTTGCTCCTCAGCATGGCTTCATAAAAACGCTGCAGGATTTCTCAAACATGATGAATGAGTCAAAGCAAGGCTGTGGGCATGTTTTATGAGAGTATAACATTATAACATGATATAAAACTCAAAAAAGTTGATTTTACATGATATTGCCCCTTTAAAAAGTCTTAAATTCGACTTGCTAAAACCTGCAGATACCCTGACTTCTAAACTGTAATTTGCACAATTCAAATCCTCAGACATATCTACAGGTGTCTTGCTTAGTGCTGAGTAAGATGATATAGGCCCTGCCTTTTCCATTTATTTTTTATGTTTTTAATACATCATGAAATTTGCTAAACCTAATGTTTAACGCACCACCAAGATTAGTTGATTAAAGTTTGAAACATGTCCGAGCAGACCCAGATAACTGTGCTGTCTGCCTGTGAGCACCGGTTAAAGCTGGATCTCAATGCAGCAGATCGAGTGCATCTCCCCAGGCAAAGGACAGCGAGAGGGGCTGACTGCTTCAGCTCCGTGTCCTGGGGAGGAGCCGAACCCACTGCGCCAAAATGCACATTATCAGGCATAAAAATGATTGATTTTTTTTCATTGCTGCTTTTTTGTTTGATTGAGTAATAAAAAACTAAATTACCTCCATAGTTAAAGGTTAATAACCTTCAAATTGTAGTAGGAGTTTGGAGACACCAGTCTTTTAATCTACAAGCCAAGAGTTCAGTCCTCAGAGAACTGGGGCAAGGGTTTTAAGTTGGGAAKAACATGCATGAAGGTTTGGAGCCCTACCATAAACTCTTGCAGTTCTAGTTTCTTAATTGTACTTCTTGTCATGGTGATCATTGTGTGCTTTTAGGAGTGCTGCTGGAGAACTTCCCTATATGCAAAGAACTGCTGATTCCTCCTGGTACTCAGAACTATGTGGTGCGCATGAGACTGTATGACGCCAACAAACGTCTCCTTTGCCTCACTATCCGCATCATCCAGAGAGCACARGGGGCTCTGAAGGTTTTGATTTCTGCCCCACACTGGCTTATCAACAAAACCGGTAATGCTTACATTTACAAACGCAGAAAAGTTATGCTTTTCAGATTATTTAAAAATCAATCCTCTGTGTATCAATTTACTAATGTCACTTTTTACTCTTWAGGTCTGCCATTAATTTTCCGTCAGGACAATGGAAAGGCTGATGCTGCAGGGCAGTTTGAGGAACACGAACTGGCCAGAAGTCTAAGTCCATTACTGTTCTCTTACACTGACAAAGAGCAGCCTGCAATGTAAACTTGTGACAAAATCTACTTGGAAAAAATGTTTTTTCACTTAAAATAGYATGTTTTTTTTTTGTCCACCTTGTAGTTAATCACTTAATTTGATTTCAGGTGCACAATGCGTGTTGGAAAAGGTATCCACCCAGATGGAGTTCCAGGCTGGTGTCAAGGCTTCTCCCTGGATGGAGGGAGTGGAGTCAGAGCAGTGAAAGTCATCCAACATGGAAATAGACCTGGCCTCATCTACAACATAGGTACGTTTATCCCTGTTAGGCAAAGTGATTACTTTACTGTCATCACTGTACAAGGGGGCGGCTGAGGCCTGGAACTGGTAGGTTGCCGGTTCAATCCCCTGTTCCAGCTGTCTCAGTTGTTCCTCCACACACACACACACACACACACACGCATTGCTGACTTCTTGTTCTTGCAGTTAAATGCAAACAAGACTGAGACTCTTATTGCCCCAGATGATAAAATTCCTGTAATCAGGCAGCACCTTGCTTCTTTAACTCGTGAAAAATAGTCTCTGAAATCTCTGAAATGAAACGTTTCGTCTCTCCTCCAAGTCTCTTGAGAAGAACCCGACCAGAGGACCTACTTATTGTTCWTCTTTGATTTCTTGGTTTATGTTCTTGCCCCATTATTTTTTCAGCTGATTCCAGACTACCTTCAGATTACCTCTTGCCTCACTGATTATAGTCAGAAAGAAGTTTGCCCTAGATTTTCCTAACATAGTTGTTACAGTTGAAATGTGCTTAGGGTTCTGCCAAAATGAGTGACCATTTCAATAAATGGGTTTGGGACRCAGCATTTGCTTCAGACAACARGGTTTAGTGTTTTAGCAACTGAGAAAAACTATAGCGAAGTAAAAAGACAGAAAAGAAGGCCAAAGAGGAGATATGGATATAGTGTTCTTCTTTTCTAGAGACCTAGATCTGTTTAGGATATTAGGGTTTTAAAGGGGCAATATTAAGTGTTTCTCAGGCATACATTTTAATACTATACCATAATAAAGTATCTATGTCACCTTTAGTTATTAAAATGCTGTTTTTATGTTTAAATAGAAAATAAACTTATCTTCTCATCACTTCCWCTTCTAAACRCCTTGAAATTGGCCTCTGTCTCTTTAAGAACCACCTTCTGCTTCTGTCTCACCCATTTCGGTGCGGGGGGGGTCGCGCGAGGGAGGGCTGCTATGATGCAGTTTACTTGGCATCTGAAAATACATTTCCTCTATGGTATTTTTAATCTGAAAAGAGCTTCACTGAGTGACAACTAATATTAGGAGCTCAGAAAACAGTTTTAAGGTTCACTTTCACCCGAGGGGGGGCTCCGCCATGATGAAGTTCGGCTTAAAGACACGTCCCAGGGGCGTTTCTGGTCCCCAGCTGTCGTTTTGCTCCTCAGCATGGCTTCATAAAAACGCTGCAGGATTTCTCAAACAATCTCAAACAGTGCATGAAAGAGTCTAAGCAAGGCTTTGAACATGTTTTTTATGAGTATAACATTATAACATGATATAAAACTCAAAAAAGTTGATTTTACATGATATTGCACCTTTAAATGCAGCTTTTACATTCGCCTCTTCATTCTAGAAAGATGTGGTTCACAGGTTAACAGAGCCATGACATGGGCCATGGTCCAACATATGTAAACAGGCTTGGACCCCGTTCATTACTGCTTTCCATTTCTAGGTATATAATATATATTTTTAATTTATCATTACAGGTATTAGTGTGCGTAAAGGAAAAGGAAACTACAGGGACACTCACATTGTGACGTTTGCACCTCGTTACTTGCTGGACAACTGCTCTACACATAAACTGGCCTTCGCTCAGAGAGAGTTTGCAAGAGGAAAGGTAAAGTACAGTCACAGGATGCTCTTTCTGTCATTTTTACAAGTAGATTGTTTATGGTGAATCCTGTGCTTCTAAATCAGTTTTTTGAGCATGCTAAAGGAATTGAACCATACCTAAATAAATGTTTTGAAATCAYTGTGGAGTGTGTAAGTAAAATGGCAACATTTTGCACTGTTGGATCTTACGAAGGTTTTAAGTAGAGCTTCGAAATGTAAAAATAAGAATTGGGAGTGTGACAAAAAAAAAAACATCTAAGTAAGAATTTTACTGCAACCAACCATTAAGCAGAAATAGACTGTTCATTAGCTCATCAAAAATTTAAGACCATGGTATTTAAAAGCCCAAATCTTTCCAAAAATGTGAATTCAGTGTCATTTTCTGTCAGTTATGCAGACTTTCATGACCTAATGGCAAAGGAAAAAGCTTTCTCTCATTGAACGTGGTCAGATTGTTGAGCTGCAGAAGCAAGGCCTCTTGCAGGATGCCATTGCTGCTGAGTTTGGACACAGTAAGACAGTCATTTTATACTTCTTATCGACCCTGAGGCTAATGGAACAAAAAGGTCAAGTCATCAGGCTTACTGATCCAGTTGGCTGTCCGTCAAGACACGGGGCAACACTCGGCCCAAATTAACACGGGGCAACACTCGGCCTAAATTAACACGGGGCAACACTCGGCCCAAATTAACACGGGGCAACACTCGGCCTAAATTAACACGGGGCAACACTCGGCCCAAATTAACACGGGGCAACACTCGGCCCAAAT